GCATTATCATCTATGGACAGGAAGTCTTGATCTTTAATCCTTTATGCCCAAAGACCCAATTAATAATTAAGCTCATTTTATTGTCTTTGTATCAAAATTGATTAAACTCAAAATGGACCTCATTAAAAACACATACAATAGAGCATGGCACATCTATACAATATATGGCTAAATATTATTACATTTTCATTATAATTTGACATTAAAATTTTAATTTTAATTTAATTTAGTTCGTAAATTTTCATTCCATGAAATATACTCTCTCATTTAGTTTAGTTAAGGTAAAAATATGTTGTTAGTTAATTAATAGTTTTCATTCAATATTAATTGTTTTGATTAAAAATTTAAATGTTGAGAGTTTAAAATGCTAAAAATAGATAATAAAATAATTATTTAAATAAATATTAAGGAATTAGTTTTGATATTATGTCCTTTTCCTAATGGGTATCACGTTTGTAAAAGAGCTGTCTGTTAAACAGAAGTAATTTTTAAAATAATTAAAAATAAATAATATTTAATAATATTTTTATGTATTTAAATATATAACTTAAACAATTATTTTTATATTAAACTTACAAAAATATGATAGTTTAAGTGAAGAAGACGCTAAGCAAATAGAAATCTGAAATGTAATGTGATAATTGAGTCTTGATTTCTATCTCACATATAAAATTAAAATTAGGAGGATAAGTCGTAAACAGTGAATTGCTTATTTCTTTAATGATGAATGGTCAAGGAGCCTTCCTAATCCCCCAGCTGGTCTGTTTTTGCTAGAATAGATAAGGGTCGAATACTAGCAAACTTAAGACTGCCTCACCTGACATTCCCAGCCTAAGGATTGTAAACAATTTCATTCAATAATTAAATTTGTTTTCTTTTACTTTTTGTTTTATTTTCTTAATGTGATTTCTACGATAATCTCAGTTCTCGACCAACATTACAAACGTTAAATAGGAAATAGGGAGAGAAATTAATAACTAGAAAATTTCTAAAATATTATTTTTTAAAATAAATATCTTTTCAAAATATACAAAATATAAAATTATGATATTAACAAGCAGATGGTTTCAAAGTCAAATATATTGAGAAAAAAAGTGAATTTAATTGATGAATTTAATATTTATATTAAATTCATAGTCTTTTGACTATTGTAAATTAAAAGCTAATTTTTAATTTGAATATTAGTAGGATAATTATTTTTTTAATAAGTAAATTTAAAAAGTTATTTGTTATTTTTTTAATTTTAAATATTAAAAGATAATTATATACTTTTGTATATTTCAAATTAAAATAATATATGTTTAAGTATAATAGTAAAAGGAGTTTACCTTTTGACCATTGCAAATTAAATATATTATTTAATTTAAATATTTATAGGATAATTACTCTTTGAATATGTTAATTTGAAAAGGTATTTGTTACCTTTTTAACTTTGAATATTAAAGATAATTATATATTTTTTGTATATTTTAAATTAAAATAATATATATTTAAGTTTGAATGGTAAAAAGAGTTTTATCTTTTGAATATTTCAAATTAAAATATATTCTTATATGTTTAAAGTTGAATATTAAAAGATATTTGGTTGAATTAAATCACTCTTGAAAATCTCCTATAAATAGTGAGTAGACTTGTTAGATTTTTCACATCTTAGAATTGAAGAATTTTTTTTTCTCTTGAAAAATATTTTTTCTCCTTAGAAAATATTCTTTTTCTTCTTAGTTTTCTTGTGGTAGTTGAAGGCAAGAATCGTTCGTGATATATGCAGATGTGCTACTGTAGCTGATCATAAGTTGTCGAAAATCTGTCTTAAGGAAACTGTGTAGCGACATGTCTCAACTGATTCCGATCGATAAATCAAAATAAAAGGAGTATTTTATTTATATATATATTTATCTTATCTTCTAAGAAATTTAACATTTTTTTGTTTATTTTTTCAGGATTGATTACGTTTCAAATTGTTATTTTGGATAATAATTTCAAGATAAGAGTGAACTTGTTCCATTTATTATCCCTTCATTCCCTTTGATTTTATAATAATATTTATTCATTATTATTTTCTATATTATTCTCGGACTAATGTGTGTAATTTTTCTAATAAAATATACACAAGCAGGCAACATTAATCTTATAACAGCCCTATTAAAAAAAATCAGATTTTAGCTTTTGCATGAGTAATTTAAATCATAACACACAAATTTAATCCATAATGAAATTTAAATAAATACAAAGCTCTCCGACGGAACCCATAAATCATTGGGAAATAACATTACAAAGAAAAAGGATAATGCAAGGTAAAAATGCGTCAATAGTGGAATCAAAACGATAGAGAGATTGGAAGTGGTGAAAGGAAAAGCAATAGAAAAATAATACAAGCCTTAATGAGAGAATAGATTCTTGAATGCGTAAGTAAGAAGTTGAAATGATTTTTGGAGAGAAAATATGAGGAAAAAAATGAATTCCGTATTTTCCTTTTTTCCCTAGGCCAATGATACCATCAATTAGATTTTAATTGTGTTATTAACAAGTCGATTTTGAGGTGGGCAGTGTTTGACTAGTGCTTGTTAATAATTTTTGTTGCTCGACTTGACTTGTTGCTCGTTAAGTTCGTTAAAATTTTGCTCGACTCATGCTCGTTAAGAAAATTGTTACTCGACTAGTTGTTCGTTATAAAAAATTAACGAGTTGCTTATGAACTTATCGAGACGAGTTGAACTTTGCTCGACTCAATTCGTTAAGGTCTCGAGTTGAGCTCGAGTTTGAGTCAAGTCAACTCGAGTTGAGTTTTTACTAAATTTTGATCGAGTAGAGTTTGAGTTACTCAACTCATTAAGTACCCATAGTGTCAATGTCATTTATTGGCGTTGATATAATGATTGAAATTAAAAAGAATTTTTATTTATTTTTTCTTAAACTTTCTTTAAAGCTTTAACTTTTTCTAGATCCAGAGGAAAAAATGTTAAATATACCTTCTTCGCTTATCAAATTTTTAATTTCGAAATATGTTGAATCTGACCTATTTACCGTTAAGAGTTTCAATTTTCAAGAATCCAAAAACCTGTTCATTTTCTCTGTTATTATTATTTTTATTTTCTTTTTTTGAGCTGTTGTTATTGTTGTTGGTTGCTCAAGTGACAGTAAAGTGAAGGTGAATGATAATTTAGTCTAAAGGCCAGATCAATTTTTGGTCCAATGTAAAATGTGATATTGAGCCCTTAGTTGCTATGGTTTTACTCTTTATTTTCTTTCGCATGTCATTAATCATGCAAAAGTAAATTGAGTACCTTTAATCTATTCACATTGAATAGTAATAAAATATAAATGATGAAATTTTGTTATAAAATTTAAAATATTTTTAAGTAACTAATATAAATTTTAATTTAAATACATAAAACTATACTTTAGTTATTAAAATTATAACATATTTAATAAATTTTAAAATAAATTTTAAATTAAATAATTAAGAGTAAAAATGTAATTTCACTCCAAGAAAATTCCACACCAAAAGTTCAAAAAAATTGACTTTTTAAGTTGGATGGATAAACACTTTTGTACCATATTTTAGGATAAAAAGATATATATATATGTGATATGAGGTCTGCTACTTGTGTATCTGCACAAAATTAAAATGAAATTAACAGCTGAGTTTCAAGACAGACTCCCCTGCAGTTATTGGCAGGGAGCAAGACCATCCTTCGAAATGTAGGCATCACATGTTTATATATATGTAGTATAATTGAAACTGATGATACCGAGGAAGATGCCACAAATTAAAAGGAATGGGGCCCTTGCTTAATCCATCACTCCCCGTTAATGTTGACTAACCACTGCAAAAAAAGGCAAGCATCAATGTCTCATTATCCACCCCGACTTGACCTATCTTGTTATTATTAACACACCATGCCATATAGGGGTATGTAAATCCAGGTATCCGGATTTTCGGATATTCGAAATTTTTGGGTCGACGATTTTTCGGCCCGTGTTTTGACCCAGATATTACGGGTATTTGGATTTTACGGGTATCCGGTAATCGGGTATTCGATACTTGGTTTTTATTTTTTTATTTTTAAATTATTAATTTAAAAATATATATACACAAATTTAAATGTTGGAAACTTCGAATTACATACTCTAATATCCGAACATAAAATTTAAAAGTTCAAAATACAAAATATAATAATCCATAATATAAATAATTTATTATATTTTATATAATTATATATAAAAAAAATAAAAACTAACCGGGTACTCGGGTAACCGGGTACCAGGAAAAACTAGATTTTGTGACCCGTGCCCGACCCGGGAAATGTCGGGCCGGGTACCCGACCCGGCCGGGTAATTTTTTTTAGAGAATTACCCGATTTTTTTTAGATTCGAGTCGACGGATCGGGTCAACCGGGTTGGGTAATTTTGCACACCCCTAATACCATATATATCAAAGTGATCACCTTAAAAAAGGCTTCAAAGTTAAATATATAAAATTAGCTGACCCTATTCTCATATGTAATGGGATAAGGGAGAGGTAGGGTACTAGACTGGCTCCCAATACCAGGTTGAGAACAACTTTCGTGAAAGACCTCCGTTATGATTGCCCTCAGTAGAACTCGATCCTACGACCACAAAGTTAAGAGCCTTGTGCTCTACCAACTGAACTAGACGGACAATTCTTCAAAGTTAAATATCTTAACCGCAAAATCAGATTGGGGCTTTACGACAATGGAAGCAAGGGGACAATTGTCTAATACAGTTAATGTCCTAGCTAGAAAGTATCATTGAGATTACATGTTCATGACTTTCACAACCCTTGAGAAGGGGACCCCAATATTTGTACATGAAAATCACATTACAATGGCACACTACCGAGTTACTGTATTCTCCTTTATCTGTTATCTTGATATAAAAATAATTCATATTATATACATTTTGATCATTGGAGTCCATTCTCGCTCCCGTTTCCAATTCTTCCATAGATGGAGAAGTGACGAGGTTTCCTTGGAAAATAAATAAAACAGACAAATATAAATTAATTGCAAATAAAATAAACACAATTACAAGTGGAACCTTAATCCACGCCAAATAACCACATCAGAATCATCCAAAATCCTTCCATTTACAGCAACTTTGCCATCCCATTGTTGACTAGGAAAGATTGCTGTTTTGCTGATGTTTCCCTCAAGCTTGATACAAGCTCCTATACATCCAGTATCCTATTACATCTGGTTCTTGAGTTTTAGCTTATACCACAAGGAAGCCGTTTTTGTCCTGATAAGCAGCAGAACAAAGAAGGATCCCCAACGGCCTCTTTGATGGCTTGATGCTAACCTCTACCACGGCAATTCCATATCTAAAATTACATATCGCCATTGTTTTCTTCTGTAACACTGTAGCCTGTGCAATGTATAGTTTCCCAAGTCATGATCTCCTTATGACGTCCTTGAAATCTCCACCTCCAAACAATGCTGCCGCTGCATCCACGTCAAGTCCACCTCCAATAGAGGTAAATAGAGCTGACAGGCCACCGTTGGGGCTGCCACTGGCAGCCACCCCTAATCCGAGAAAATCAAGTGTAGTTTGCTTTGGACCGAATACAGGGGTTCCCATCATCAATTCCTTTAATACCGAACTTCTATCACAAGGAAGCCCGAGTCCAAGCCCTGCTGCAACAGAGGCATTGTTGGGCTCAACTTGTCTCTTACCCCATTGCAAATTTTCTTGCTGCGCTGATGAAGATGATGAAACAACACCGAGACCACGAAGCAAGGATGCATTACTTGCAGCTGCTCCCATCTGAGCAGCTTTCTGCAGTAGGGCTGTGGCCGACATAGCAGGTTGTGGGGGCGGTACATACTGCTGGCGCTCTTGCCCTGCATTTCCGAATATCGATGAGCCATGGCTGGTTGAGAGGCATAGAGAAATTGGTTCAATGGATGTAGATGGAGCAAGGTCAGCAGGACACTCAGGTGGACCCATTGCTCGAATTAAGTCGGTGAAAGCCCGAGGTTGTGGAGGTGTTAAGCTCGCAGATGCAGTAGAGGATGCAAATAAGCTTGCAAATACACTGCTGCTGCAGCTACTACCATTGCTAACTGAGCTGACACCACTGCTACAACTTCCATTTAAGCCAGCTTGTGCCGGAGCCGGAGCTTCTTCCACGATAGAATTCGGATCTACAGCCAACTCTATAACAAGATAGAAGGCAAATAAAACCATAAGGGAACCTGATTTAAAAGTCTAAAACATGAATCGGTAATGGATTACTTTCTACAATTCCATTTTTCTTTTATTTTGGCTTTTGAATTTGCACAAATTGATTCTTACGATTTAGAAAACGAATTTATTTCCCTCTCTATAACAACAAAGACCAAACTACTACGCTCCAAGATTTATCCAAAGACATAATAACAACAAAATAAAATTGTCTTTGTTGTTAATTCCAAACAAAATCAGAAAGGACAAAATTGAAGCTGACAAGATGCAAAAATTTCCTGATTATGTATTTACCAGAACTTTGGATTGGCATAACCGAAGTCATTGCACTTGTTGACTGAGGCAGAGCTGGTGCTGAAACCTGAACCTCTACTGGTGCTGGAGCCGAAACCGGAGGCGGTGCAGGCTGAAGGGCTGGTGATGGTGATGATTCCACAACCAGGACTTTCGGGTCAGGTTCAGAACTGGGATCCGTTTGAGCTTTACCACTCTCATCAGCTAACGCATCACAAAAAGCTCTGTGCGTGATGAAACTATCTCTCCTGCAAAAAAGACCAAAACGAAATTAGTAATCAGGAGGAAAATATTCATTTTCCCCCAAAAAAAATTGAATCTTTAGATAGTTTTTGAGCACCTGGAAAACAGGGTACCACAATCACATTTGTACTCTCGAGTACCACAAATCTTAGAGTGAGCTTTCCAATCCGATTGAACAGCATATTTCTTAGAACATTTATCGCATTTCCACTTCTTTTCTCCATGTTTTCTGCAGAAATGTTTCTTAATTCCCGTAAGATCGCCTAAAGCTCTCGTCGGATCGTGATGCACACAAGTTGGCTCGGGACAAACATAAACCCTCTTCATCACTTCCTTACTGGATCTCTGCCTAAGCTTCCATGGTAAATTATGACCTCTTCTATGAAGCTGAAGATTTTGGTCCCTTTGAAACCCTTTGTTGCAGATTTCACAAACAAACCGGTTCGTGGCCATGAGAGTCTTTGGAGATAAAGCAATCACCTCTGCATCTGGATCTGTAACAACTCAAAAACAACAAATGAAATTGAAAAAAAAACCCCAAAAAACAGAAGGAAAAACAAACTGACGATTGGATATTTAATTATTTTATATATTACAGTACCTGGCATTCCAGGAAGACTACGTTTCTTCTTGATGGTGAATTTGGGAGGTGGATTTTGGTTACCGGAGGAAGAGCCGCAAGTGTCGCCGGAGACGGTGGAATAATTATCTACGTCGACCGGCATGGCCTAAAAACAGAGTTTTCTTTAAAAAAATCAAATTACAAGACAAAAAAAGGAGATGGATTTTTATTTTATTTTTGTAAAGCTTTGTTTTCCAAGTCAGTCTGGGTTATCTACCAGTCAATCTGCTTTTTTCTCTTTTACATATTTAATCCAACTACCAGCTCTCCATGCTAAGCCTTTGACCAAATTCACATTACCCAAAGAAGCTTCAATGATAAAACCCAAACACTGAAATCAGCTCTCTCAGTTCTGGAAAGCATCGAAGTTTCAATCCAAAGCCCCAGAAAGCAAATCCAATGAGGAGAACCCCAGCAACTGAAAGATCCAACAGTCAGAGCTGAACACATAAACAAATACAACAGGGAAATAGGATCAGATATAGATAAGTTATACTATTTACACGTTTCAAAAAGAATGCATAGAAAAAAGAGACAGGGAGCTTCGTGTGAAAGTTTTATAGAAAGAAATAAAGCAAGGAAGAGAGAGACTTCAAATTTCATCTTTTGTTGCTACTGCTACTATTGCTGGCTTTTTCACAAGAGAGAAAGTGTAGGAGTAGAAAAAAGATAAAACTGATTTTAATATTAATGTTTTGAGTGAGATTTTCGGCAACTTGTCGGGACTCGGGAGATGCTGTTTTGTCGTGTAGTGAATTGGTCGGATCTGAACTCTTCAAGACGAGGGAATCGTCGTTGGTGTTGATATGCTATACATTATGTAAAGTTCATGATTGGGATTGTCCTGTTTCTAGCCAATTGATTGTTGCCACGTAGTATGCAAGTTAGAACTAACCATATTCGATTTTTGGCCCCTCTTTTTTTCCTGTGATGTCAAAGGATCAACCTTGCTTATTTTTAGGATAAATTACATTAGATACCACTTAACTTTAGATATTGTATTTTTATACCATTGAACATTTATTTTTTTCAATTGTAGCACTAAAGTTTGATTTTAACTTCAATTATGCTATCGACCCGTTAAAATCCAAACGATATGATGACATGGACAAACCGACATTATTCTAGCGTGGCTATTGATGCCTAAAACGATATTGTTTTAGGCATTTAACTTTAGGGATGAATCAATTCTATCATTAAACTTTTAAAAATATCACTTTTTTGCACCGTATATTTTCAATTGTTATCGAGAGTCAATCACTCTCCATCATCGATCACTTTTAAGACAAGATTGTTATCAAAATATTTGTATACTCCTCTTTCTTTTCCTAATATTGATTTTCCAAGAAATCCACTCAAAATCCATGAAATTAAATAAAAATATACCATTTTTTTGGGTTTGAGTGTTCTCTTAAATAAAAATCTTACTGATAATTGCCTTTGGCACCATAATTTTTTGTATGAAATAGAACATATTGTATAAGCTATGCTTTACCAGTATAAGATAAGACAAGAACCTTACTACCCTATCAATGTATCCTCACATTTACTTTATCCAATAGAGGAGCACTCCGAGGATTACATAATAAGATAAGAACTGTAAACTTGTATATATATATATATATTATCGAAAGCATATCTTGTTTACAGAGTAGCCTGTCCTTTATATAGGTAAGAGTCCAACTAACAACCTAACAAATATCTAACCATATAATTGTTCTCTAACAGCTTATAACTAATATCTTAATTTATATGTTTCTAAATTATTCTCTTTACTTCTATCAGTCATCAAAATGGGAAAAGAGACGTGATAAGTAGAAAAATTTAGGGGTTTGCAATGTTTCAAAGACTTTCAAATTCTTTAAAATAAAAACTCAAATTATAATAAATTCCTTCCCTAACATTATCTAATTTTTTGTGTTTAATATCCAAAAAAAAAAAAACTTTAACTATTTCTAAGGTAGTGTTTGTTTTTACTGTGTAAGGTCTGCAAAGCTCTTATGTCTGCGCCGCGCAGATCACGCGCAGACATTGGACTTCACAGACCGTTTGTTTTTTAGAAGACAAAAGCTCTTCTAACGTCTGCACGTGGTCTACGCGGCGCAGACGTGGTCTTATGTCTGCAGACGTCTTCTAACATCTTCAAAGAGGTTTTATATTTAATTTTATATTATATTTGATTTTAATTTTAATATTAATTTTTTTAAATATATTAAATATTAATTTTTAATATTATATTATAGATATTAATTTTAATATTAATTTTTAAATAAATTAAATATTAATTTTTTAATATTATATTATAGATATTTAATTTTATATCATATAAATTATTTTATATATTATTAAAATTTAATATTTATTTTAATTATTTTGATTTAAGTTTAAATATAATATTTTTTTGGATTTGTTATTTTTAAATTATATTTAAAATTTTTTATACAAAATGTAAGTATTTAAACCACATTGCTTAATAAAAAATGATTTCATTGTTTGATAATTAAAATTTTAAAATATAAAAAATTATAAATTATGTTTTTAAAATTTTAAAATATAATCACAATTAAATAAAAAATAATCATAAAATAATTTGATAAATTAAAAAATATTTTCTAAAAATATCATATAATTATAAAAATAAATTATGAATATATATTTAAAAAATTAAAAGTATTACATAATTTCATATTTAAAAAAATCATATAGTTTAATGATCATTTATAAATTTTATTCTATAAAACTTATAAAACTAATAATACATGTGATTATGTGAGACTTATAATAAAATTAATAAGGTGGTGTTTATTTTTCTAAAAAAATTATTATTGTAGTTTATGAATTATTTAAATTTCAGTATTGTAAAACTAAAACTATTTAAATCTCAATATTACAAAATTCTTTTAAGTTTAAAAAATCAGTTTATTTATATTTCAGTTTATTTTAGCAGTCTGCATACATTAATAAACAAATAGTCTTCTTCTTGTAGACTGCAGACTTTTGGTCCACCTCTTCTGCTGCAGATGCTTGCAGATGTGATCCGCAGACTGTATACTTTTTACCTCTGTAAAAACAAATATCCCCTAAGTTAGGTGATAAAGAACAAAAAAAAAATATATAGTCAAAGAATGTTTTATTTTCTTAATGTTTCCCTTGGCTTGTCTTTTTCATGATCTGGTTTACCAGGTAATGCTACCGTAGGAAAAACTAAGCCAAGTTGACTTGTCAGTCATACAATTCTTGGAATTCGATAGGGAGAGAAGTAAATATCTTGTTGTTCTAAAGGAGCTCCAATTTTCATATGGATGTCCATTAGAGAAACCCGGCTCCATTCTTTTATTCAATCATATCTCCACAAATCCTCTTCCCTAGGTGCTTATTGAACGACTCACTTGCGAGTTGAACAGTATTTGATTCGTGTTCGTTAAAAAAATTTATTATTCGAGTTAAGTTTATTGCTCGTTAAATACATTGCTCAACTCTTACTCGTTAAGTTCACTGAAATTTTTATCTTATTCTTTTTAACTATATGTAAAATCTACTAATACTATAAATTAATAGATTAGTCATTTATCATGTTTTTATTATCTATTAGTATATTAATACTTTTTGAAAATATCTACTAAAATTTATAAAAAAGAAATTAACAAGCTGCTCGCGAAGTTATCAAGTCGAGTTGTACTTTGCTCGACTCAGCTCGTTAAGATATCGAGTCGAGTTCGAGTTCGAGTCGAATCAATATGAATTAAACTTTTACCGAATTTTGACCGAATCAAATTCGAGCATGTCAACTTATTAAGCACCCTTACTCTCTCTCCTTTTATTTTATTTATAGAGGTTTATTCGCCTTTGACAAACTTGAAAATTTATCTAATTCAACCACACATCAATATTTTTCATGTTAGGATTCAGCTAAGAAAGCACTGGCAACGAAATTCATGGGATATGCACCCTATAAGGTAAATCTTGCAGGGATAAAAAGACTGGTAAAGAGGGTAGCCTTTTATATAATTATACTTGCCAAATACCAATACATTATTTAAATATACGTTTCCCTCCGCCGCTTGAAAAACTTTTTCTTAATCTTTGAGTAATCCACAGTACCATTAATTTTAGTATCAACCATCAATATTCATTTTTTTTATTTATCTTTATTTTTTAATTTTTAATAATTCTTTTTAATAATTCTTTTTTATGATATCTTTTTTTGTCTTTTGATAAAATTTTGGTTTTTTTATTTGTTGTTTGGTTGTTTTATATTTTATTTTTTTCTTAGGGTTAAATTTGATGATGCTTCACTGATTAAGATATTGTTTATTTGTTATTCTATTGATCTTCTCTTCTTTGGACCCTTGGGTTAGATTTGGATACACGATTGTGTCTGTGAATAATCTTCTTACGTCGTTTGACCCTAATATGCAACTTGTCGGTGGTCTTTCATCAATTTTAACTCTTTTTTGTAGATAATCTTCTCATGGTTGGTTCATTTATCAATGCAGTCATATATATTTGTATCTATCTTTATTCGAATTTTTTTTTTAAAAATTTAACATTTTTCTTATTTAGTATTTATTTAATCTTTAGTGTCTAATTTATTATGTCAATAGATATAGAAAAGATTATAATTACATGTTCAATTTACTTTCATGATTATAAACATTTGTTATAATTTTAAATATTTTTTTAATAAAACTAACTGTTCTATTAAAAATATATAGGTAAACAAATCGATGCTTTGTTATCAAGATATATAATCAATGACTGAAATGTGATAACCCTTCATATCTACACTATACTCAAAAGCTTATTTGACCCGAAATCATTAGGGACTTTTAGGTATACTTGTTTTACCATCCTTGAGCTAAGGGCTTCCTCGCCCATATAGATTGTGGGAAAAATGATTTTTCAATATAAGATATTCACCATATTATTTTCTGAACTAGGGTTTTTTATTAGTCTGAAGACGCCATGCACTCTTGGAGTCTTGTCCATTTGCCTGAAGATATCATGCAGTCATGGAGTTTTTTTATTTACCTGAAGACGCCATGCAGTCGTAGAGTCTTCATATTTAGTTTGAAGACGTATGAAGCACCTGACGTCTTTAAGTTGGAACTGTGCAATTCACCCTATATGAAAAAATAATCCTCGGGATA